TACACAAACCGGCAGAAATTGAGGTTGCTACTTTCACATGTTTGTTCTGCCTCTTTGTATTGTTTCAGAGATTAGGTTTGGGAAATAAATGTTCTATTTTCCAATATAAATTTGTGTTGGAATTTATTTTATTTACTTAAAGAGTATTTGTACTCTGCTCATCAATCCCAAAAGCTCCCAGAGCAGCTTACATTCAGACAGTCTTCATCTGCAGGCTTACAAGCTAAAAAAGATTACATACAATGAAAAAGGGACAGGAAAGGAAGAGGAAAATAAAAAACTGGGCACCAATTTCTAACAGTTGTTCCTATGTTGACCATCTAGTATGGTTCAGGGGCAGGAGGCCGCTGACAGAGCTGGACCTCCAATAAAGATGGAGAAATGAGCCTTCTGTTCCTACCTCTTTTGCTGAGGCCCCTGATGGAGTGGCTGCCCTCAGATGACCCTTGAGGGAGAGGAGAGGTCTTACAGGGTTGGCCTACGCAGCAGAGACAATAGAGTGAGCCCTGCTTCCCAGCTCTCCTACTGCTGGAATGGCTGCCCCCAGATGAGAATGGAGAGGAGAGGAGGTCTGATGGAGTCTCCTTGGTTTTTTACTTCATTATGCTAGCTAGAAAGTTCAGTCTTTGTTTACTAAACACACTTAACCTCTTCCAACAATTCTATTTTTGTAATTACCGGTACTACATTTATATACCCACTTGCTCCAAACTTCTTGAAAAGGCAGTTTGTATTTCATAAAAGGGACGCGGGTGGCGCTGTGGGTTAAACCACAGAGCCTAGGGCTTGCCGATCAGAAGGTTGGCGGTTCAAATCCCCGCGACGGGGTGAGCTTCCGTTGCTCGGTCCCTGCTCCTGCCAACCTAGCAGTTCGAAAGCACGTCAAAGTGCAAGGAGATAAATAGGTACCACTCTGGTGGGAAGGTAAATGGCGTTTCCATGCGCTGCTCTGGTTTGCCACAACCGGCGGCTTAGTCATGCTGGCCACATGACCCGAAAGCTGTACGCCGGCTCCCTTGGCCAATAAAGTGAGATGAGCGCCGCAACCCCAGAGTCGACCATGACTGGACCTAATGCTCAGGGGTCCCTTTACTTTTACCTATTTCATAAAAGGCTTACAATCAAAAAGGCAAAATACAAAAGAAAAAGGAGCTAGGAGAGGATAGGTCAATAGGCAAATTTGGACACTCTTTTGAATTATTACAAAATTAAAAAGGGGAATAATCAGTGCTTGGTGAGCAGCAATATGATAGTTGGCTCCAACCAACCCAATGGAGTGTGTCTCAACATCTCACTTCTCCCACTGGTGCAATCCAATGGTATGGATTCTGATAAAGGGAACTGTGTCTAAGTGGAGGGCCAAATATGAGGCTGTTCTAATTCTACTAGCTACAAAAAATAGCAGGGGGCTACCGAGATTAACAATATAAAATGCAATTAAAAACCATTCTGTAGTGTGTAAGCAATCCATAGCTAAAATCTAAATAGTTTGGAGTTGAGGAGTTGATACTGAAGAAATGGGATCAGGATAAAATTGTATGTTAAATGAACATTGTAGAAGAAAACTGTGGGGGCACTGGACTTTTCCATCCCCACTTGGGCAGGCAATGCTCACTGGGGTAGTCCTAAGGGTAATCAAGAGAGTTCCATCTTCTGGACTTGGAAACATGTTCAGTTATCCCATTTTCAGACCCTCCAAGTATCCCTATTTTCCAGGGATGCCCCTGATTTAGAAAAGCCATCCTGTTTTCTGATTTGATCCCGGAATGTCCCACTTTTCCTTAGGATGCCCCTATTTTCATTGGAGAAATGTTGACGGGTATGGAGTTATCAGACCGCTGAACCATCTGAAGGCAATCCTATATAGGGAAGTTTTTTTAATGCTTAATGTTTTATTATGTTTTTTATGTATGTTGGAAGCTGCCCAGATTGGCTGGGGCAACCCAGGAAAGATGTGTGGGGTATACAGTGGTGCCCCGCAAGACGAATGCCTCGCAAGACGAAAAACCCGCTAGACGAAAGGGTTTTCCGTTTTTCGATGCGCTTCGCAAGACGAATTTCCCTATGGGCTTGCTTCGCAAAACGAAAAAGTCATGCGAGTCTTGCGATTTTTTTCGCTCCCCCCCCCCTTTTTCTAAGCCGCTAATAGCCTTTTAGCCACTAATCCGCTAAGCCTTTAATAGCCGCTAAACCGCTAATAGCACTAATCCGCTAAGCCGCTAATAGGGTTGCTTCGCAAGACGAAAAAACCGCTAGACGAAGAGACTCGCGGAACGGATTAATTTCGTCTTGCGAGGCACCACTGTAAATGGTAAAATTACCATTATAGCATTGGACGTCCCTATTTTCATCAGAGAAATGTTGGAGGGTATGCACTTCACAGAAGGCATACACAATATTACAGCCATTTTAATAACTGGAACAATTCAAAGATGACAGGGACAAGGAACCATGTCCCCTGTTGGTTGGGGTGGAGGACAAAAAGTTGGTTTAAGCAAAGCTTGGGGACAACTACTATGATTTTCTCTCACAGGAAGCTGTTTAATGCAATTACTTCTTGTTGGCGGGGGGGAAACCTATGCAAAATACATTTTGAAAGATTGGCACATTCCATATTGCAAGAATACAGCATCACTAATGCATTACCTGAGTGCTAATCCAGTATTCTGAAGATATTCCTGAATTCTATCCAGCTCTTCAACTGGTAACTGAGCAGTGCTGTTCTATACAAAAACAAGAAAGACAATACATTTGTATAGGTCTGGCAAATGAAAAATGAAACATACATTATAATAAGTTAAGAATAACGCCAAGAAACTGTGGTTAGCACTAATCATTGTTTGTTACTTTAATTTTACCTAAGCCCGCAAATATGAACTGAAATAACTTAACTTTTCTCTTAAACTGAAGTTTTTTAGATACTAGATATATGTATTTCTATTTAAAGCCTTGAGACTTACCATATTTTTCGCTCTATAGGACGCACTTTTTCCCCTTCAAAAATGAAGGGGAAATGTGTGTGCGTCCTATGGAGCGAAGACACCATAGCCCCGCGACCCTCTCCCGGCTGGAGAGGTGACACGCGGCTATGGCAGGAGCCTCTTTAGCCGCGCGCCACCTCTCCAGCTGGGAGAGCACGTGCGGGGCTAAAGAAGCCATAGAAGCTTTCCGCAGCTCCCCGACCTGCTCTTTGGGGCTGGTGGTGGGCTTCCCCCCGCCAGCCTCAAAGAGCAGGTCGAAAGGAACCTGAAGCCTGGAGAGCGAGAGGGGTCGGTGTGCGCCTGAAGGCAACTGAACGCACCTTAAACGGCACCTTGTTTTAGAGCGGGAAAACAAGAGGGGGGAAATTCTCCCCCTCTCTGCGCAGCGCCTCCTGTCGCTTCGCTGAAGGGGCGCTGGGCAGAGAGGGAGAGATTTTTTTTTTCTTGTTCTCCCCCCTCTAAAACAAGGTGCGTCCTATTGTCCGGTGCGTCCTATGGTGCGAAAAATACGGTATGCACATTAAATATATTGTGCCCCTCCCCTTCTCATTGTATTTAAATAGCTATGTTTATATACAACATTGCACATAACACATCAACTCTCCCTATGAGACATGGTAAATTATTTTTTTCCAACAATTTACTTCACAGGCAGACTGAATGCAAATTAAATTTAAGAATACTGCACTGTATCAGAAACACTGACAAACAAAAGTATACATAGACATGACAATGCATTTGGTACCTGCACAGTTGCAGCTAAAAGCATTTCTACTCGACGGCAAGCAAGAGTATCGACCATGCGAGCCAGCACACGGAATGGAGTACGCAAAAGCTTGTCCACGTACAATATTAAGACGGCACCAGACTGGCTGAGGTGAATCCCCTCTAAGCACTGTAGAGTCTTCTTTACTGCAGTTGGCTAAACAGGGAGAAAAGAAAATTACAGGGCTTTTTTCATACTAAACTACCGAAAAGCAAATTACATATGAAAGTTTTGAACAACTCTGAACAAAACAAATCATTCCTTAATGGAGTTATAGCTTAAACTCAGGCACAGACTAAACAAAGGCATGGACCTCAAAAATGTACACATCACTTCCTTGAGTTTCTTTTTATGTCAACCTCGCCCCCACCCCCCCAATAACACCCAACTCTACCTCTTTTTTTGCATCTAATCCTGACTAATTTAGAAGATACTCTGTACAGGAGTGCTGGGAGATAACAATAGAGTAGATGAATCCTAATAAACTGAATCTGAATCCAGCTAAGACAGAATTACTAGTACAGTGGTACCTCCGGTTGCGAACGGGATCTGTTCCGGAGCTCCGGTCAGATCCTGAGGTTTTCGCTACCGGAGGTGCCTGTTCTGCCCATGCATGCGCGTCAAAACCCAGAAAAATACTTCCGGGTTTGCTGTGTTCGCACCCTGAAGTTTACATAACCAGAGGGTTACGTAACGTGAGGTACAGCAGGCGACGTTTCTAAGCAGGGAGACTGTATTCAGCTGATTCTGGACAGGGTTGCACTCCCTCTTAAAATTTAGGTTTATAGAATGGGATTTTTTTATTGATCCAGCATTGCCCATGCCACACACACCCCCGAGCCAATTTTGGGAGGTGCAATGTGCACAAGGGAAGCAGAGGGAGGAAAGCCCCATTGCGCAAGCAGAAATCCTTGCACAGGGCTTTTGCGGATGGGGCTCAGAAGATGAATCCCAAGGTGAGGATAAGAGTCACAGAAAAAGGGTAACAGGAAATTTTTATAACTCTAAACAACTTACAGCTGCAAAGTTCTCACACCGCGACTGAATAGCCTGGATGAAAAGTCCACTCGCTGCTGAATTCCTGTGAATGGCACTAATGAAATCTTGCACAGGTGGTTCATGGGAGAGATTAATAAGATCTTGAACGTGATTCACTGTCAGCCAGGTTAAGTGTTCAGAATCATGCAGGTTTTGGCACTATGGAAGGAAAAAGAATTTGATTCATCAATTCTAAGGCAATGCCAACTGTCAACTGGGATAGCTCAGTCGGTAGAGCGTAAGATCCTTAATCTCAGGGTTGTGGGTTTGAGCCCCACACTGGGGAAAATATTCCCACTTGTAGGAAGGGACTAGATGACTCTATGAGTCTATGAAATCATAAAGGTTGCATGGATGACATCTCTACATGTGAATTCCTCTACCGATACCCTGACTCAGAGAACTACATTTAAAGTTGGCCAACCCTCTAAAGGTCTTCTGCTACCAAAGTGGCCACTGAGCATGTAAGAGCCCTGCACTCATTACATGTATACATATATGCAACACACTCTTTCTCATATGTGTGCAGGCACATGAAACAGAGCATACCACAAAGACATGCACACACCTCTTAATCTTACTTAATAGTGGCTAGTGAGTCTTTAACATGTTTTATGTGTTTAATATGTCTGGATTATCAATGTTTTATGGATGGTTTTTATTGTCTAAATTATGCCAATAAAGGCTGAATGAATGAATGCACACACCACAGTCATGCTCATCACATCATTGGGTTTGTTGGGGAGGTTTAAACCTCTGCACCTAGCCCAACACTACAACTGAACATAAGTCTTGCTGGGCAGAACTAAACCTCTCTCCAGAAGCCCAGAGCTGCACAGAAGAGGAAGATGGGGCCTGGAAGGCTTTGTGTGTCTGATTCTGGCCACAACCACCCCTGTTGTGACCGAACATCTGTAGAGAAAATAAGGGAGACAATCTTCCCTCTTTGGACTAGAAACCACAGTATTTAAGTGGAGATCAGGTGCTACGTTTTCACCTAGATGCAGACACTGTTTAAGACTAAAGACAAAATTATCTTAGGAGCAGTGTTTTTTATTAAACCTCAGAATAGAGTCCTATTACTTGTTATGGAGGAGGCAAGAACAGAATGAGCTAATGGCAGAAATCCTGACTGTGATGTCCATTGGGAGAAAATCAATGCACTAAATCCTGGAAGGAGGACATATCTAACAAACAAAAGTCTTTAGAAGAAGGGCGGTATATAAATCTAATAAATAAATAAGTAAAAATAAAATGTGAAAGCTCAGGAGTGGGAGAGGAAACACTCAGGAAAAGAAAATTTCCTCACCTGAGAACTCCCACCCCACAACTTTTGCCAAAGGAAAATGTTTTTTTACACATTTCATCTTTTCAAATGAGTGAAATGTTTTCAAGACTGGGGTTTAGGAACTCAAAATGTATAGCATAACATTTCTTATGTAAGGTAATCTACAGCATTAGAAAATGATACTTCCAGTGCATACGGTAGACATATACAATACAGGCAACTTCCAATTTATGTGGGGGTTATGTTCCAAGGCACCGTGTATCTAAGTGAAATTGCGTATATTTGAAACACCATTGAAAAAGCCTGCAAATACCCTGTTCCGCCCCTTTTTGAGTCACTTTTGGGTTCAATGCAGTCATGCACATATTGGGCGCACCTAAAATGGCCACTTTCTGTATCCAAATCCAAGATGCATTTCTTAACCTAGAGAGTGCTGTCACCTTTCTGAGGAGCCTATAGGATCTTCTTTTTCTTGTGAACTGTTACCTTCTTCTGCTGACCTATGAACTAGTGTGGAGATGCTAGAAACAAGAATTCTACACCTGCTGCCTTCTGACCTCACCCCTCCCTTGTGGTCAACTTTCACTTCTCTCAAATTACATAATCTGCTATAATCCTGCACCTACCTACTTAGAAGCAAGTTGCATTGGGATTTACTCCAAAGTATGGGACGTGGGTGGCACTGTGGTCTAAACCACAGAGCCCAGGGCTTGCCGATTAGAAGGTCGGCGATTCAAATCCCCATGACAGGGTGAGCTCCTGTTGTTTGGTCCCAGTTCCTGCCCACCCAGTAGTTCGAAAGCCCGTCAAATGCAAGTAGATAAATAGGTACCACTCTGGCAGAAAGGTAAACAGTGTTTCCGTGCGCTGCTCTGGTTCGCCAGAAGTGGCTTAATCATGCTGGCCACATGACCTGGAAGCTGTCTGAGGACAAACGTCGGCTCCCTCAGCCAGTAAAGCGAGATGAGCACCGCAACCCCAGAGTCGTCTGTGACTGGACCTAACAGCCAGGGGTACCTTTTTATGTGTGTACAGGATTGTAGCCTAAGGCATTTACAGTGGTGCCTCGCAAGACGAAATTAATTCGTTCCGCGAGTTTTTTCGTCTTGCGGTTTTTTTCGTCTTGCGAAGCACGGTGTCGGAAAAGTTTTGGAAAAGCTTCAAAAATCACCAAAGTCTTCAAAAACCTCAAAAAAGGCTACCACACCGCATTCTATGAGTTGCTCCTCGAAGTCAAGTCGCACCTGGATGAGCGGGTTTAAGAAGATGGACTCAAACTTGCAAGACGTTTCCGTCTTGCGAAGCAAGCCCATAGGGAAAATCGTCTTGCGAAGCAACTCAAAAAACCAAAAACCCTTTCGTTTTGCGAGTTTTCCGTCTTGCGAGGCATTCGTCTTGCGAGGTACCACTGTATAACTTTGAGGCTACTATCTGGTGATGGCTTTCTTGGGACTGAGTATTATTTCTAAGTAAATATACATAAAATTACTTGTGAATTTAATAAATATGCCAAGTAGCATAATTTTATATGCCAAGTTAAAATGATGCATTTTGTGCTGTTAAAGTAGTAAAAGAAATTAAGGTTTGATAAGAAACTAGCTATTGCATATATTTACATTTCCAGGGATGGGGGGTGGTGGGATGGAAATACTGAAATGTCCAACAACTTTAAGAAGCTGTCTAGGGCAGAGACCTGTTCAATTTTTGTAAATAAAAGGTTAAACTTCCACACCATATTTAAGAAGAGAACCTGATCCTGACACTCTGATGTCCAAAATGGATAACTGTCAGAAAGCAGAGAATTGGGAATGAAGAAAGTACAGAAAATGGCAGTGCCACAAATACATAAAATTTTTATATGCAAGATTATGCATCAAAATCACTAAAGGTATTCTCTGGGAGCTATTATTTATCTAGCTGCAACACATGGACCTTAACAGCATAAGGCAAACAGGTCTCTGCCCAGAAGACTTTTCAATCACAATTACATGTGAATAGGTTAATAATAGTAAGTAAATAATCACCACGACTGACTAGTTTACACACAAAATGTTCACAGACAAGGGTAAAATACACAAAATTAAAAGTAGGTCATTGCCATAGGAGGGGCAGCGGCATTATTTTGAATAATTCAAAACTTACCACATAATCACAAAAAAGGATGAGTGCCCCTCTTCGGACTATCTCTCGATTACACATACCAAGTTTGGATTCAGAATCTGCTTCAATGTCATCTCCGTGTTTCTCAGGCCTAAACAATTTTGTAGTGGAAAGACTGTGCCTTCTGTGGGGGGCGAGGGAAAGGGAGAGAGAGGGGGGTAATATTTTTACTCCTAAATGGAGACTTTGATTTCCAGAAAACAACACTGTCAAACTTTCTTCCAGTTTGAACCCTTCGTTATGCAGTTAATTTATCATTTTCTTCTAAAGCCGCGGGGTGGACAAGTCTTCTATTATCTAAGCCCCTCTGTACAAGGTGAGAGGAAGAGAAGGGAGTTGGCGGAGCTTTCCCAGATCCTCTTTTAGCAAACTGAGGAGAGTGGTGGCAGCGGGAGTCACCAGACAAACATCTTCACTGACCCCCCCACCCCTACCCCCAGACCAGAACCCAAGAGAAAGGGCTAACAAGTAAACTGGAATAATAGGAGGAACAGGGAAAAACAAAATGGCAGACAGGCAACAGCAACAAGAAAAATACACACAGATTAACAAGCAAGATCCCTTTAAAAATAAATAAATTACATACTACAAGACACCCAGATAAGGACAAACAGGCAATAAAGAGTAGAGAGACACACAGAGGGTGGAGCACCACTTCGAAGCAGGCAAAATCAGAAATTGAAGTTGCATGCTGCTTGTAGTTGTGGGCAGGGCTGATGGCAATTGTGGGCAGGACCATAGGTAACTAGTCACCCTTTTCTGTACTCTCTTACACCTTTCTGTCTTCCTCTCCACCCAGAGGGCCAAGGGATAACAGATCCCTCTTCCTAGAGGTACAGTGATTACTAGCAGAGGTCTTCTGAAATTAGGCCAGGGGCAAGTGAAATCATACTATGGGCTGAAGCATAGCTGTCAAAGTTTCCCATTTTTAAAGGGAAATTCCCTTATTCCGAACAGGATTCCTCGCAAGAAAAGGGAAAAGTTGATAGCTATGGGTTGAAGGTTGCCAACCCCTATTAAGGACTCTGCTTGAATGAACTATGGACAATTTGTATTTATTAAATTTATGTACCACCCTTCATCTGAGGATCACAGGGCCGTTTACAATATAAACACACAAAAATGCTTAACAAGATACTTCTACCACTACGAAAAATAGTCTTACTTTGGAGTCTGATGCACTTCTGACCACCAGCTACAGTTAGTATAATTAACAAGTAGTAAGATTTGACACCACAGGAGGACTAAAGAAGGATGTGTAGGTATCATGGACTGAACGAGATCATTTAAGCTTTTAAGGGTGTAGAAATCACCATCTGACTCATCTCCTGTAAAGAGCTTAGTGGCTGCAGCTGTGATTCTTCTGAACATTCCTAAAACAGTGAAAACGGTTTTTAAAAACCCAAACAAAATTAGAAATAGCACATTGTAACAGAGATCCATTTGACAACTCATGGTTTAGGCCACTAAAATATTTAATTCTTATCAATCTTAATTTTAAATATTTCTTAGTTAATGAAGTTTCTAAGTATCATGCTTCCAGAAAAAAACTTTTAAAAGTACTCCTAGGATCTTTTTTTGACTGATTTTTAGCAGTGCATTTCACTGAAATTAGTCATACCCTATCCTGGTGAAATGCAAAGCTCTCCAAATATCAATGAGTATTTTCTTCAAAACATGACCAGTGGAAAACAATGAGGCCCAGATACAGATACAAGACTACCCTTTGTTAAGGGACATGGCTGCATAATTGTGTGCCCCCCCCCCCAATCCTTCTGGCATAAACCTCTCCAAGGAGAACTCAGAGATTACCCTAAACTGAAACCTTCCTCAGCTGTGATACACACACTGCAGTTAGGCTTGAAAGAAGGCCCTTTCTGGTACGAACAGGGATGCTGTGTATCAGAGGGCCCATTGGGTGCACCAACCTATGGGTTGCAGAGTCCCCCCACCCCAACAGCGCTAGTTCATTTCATAGAATAACAGAATAAGAGGGGGGGGGGGGTCGTCTAGTCCAACTTCCTGAAATGCAGGAATCTTTTTCTCCAACGTGGGGCTTGAACTCAGGACCCTGAGATTAAGAGTCTCATGTTCTACCAACTAAGCTATCTCTCTCTCTCAATTTGACAGGTTTTGAACTCTAATTTTCTCAGGGGAACTACCTTAATCAAACAGTACCATTTAAAAAACAAGTTTTTTAATTCAGGTACAACGGAAACAGAACTGTTCAATGGGATTCATTCCAAAATACAGTGGTACCTCCGGTTGTGAACAGGATCCGTTCTGGAGGTCCAGCTGGATCCCTGGGTTTTCGCAACCTGAGGATCACTGTTCTGCACATGCGTGCGGTGGTAGACCGCTTCTGCGCATGCGCGTGGGGCAAAACCCGGTCAAATACTTCCGGGTTTGCCGCTTTCACAACCTGAAGTTTACGTTACCTGAAGGTAACGTAACTCGAGGTGCTACTGTAAATCCAAAGTAAAGCCATTACAGTAGTACCTCTGGTTACATATGCTTCAGGTTACAGACTCCGCTAACCCAGAAATAGTGCTTCAGGTTAAGAACTTTGCTTCAGGATGAGAACAGAAATCATGCTCTGGCGGCACAGCAGCAGCGGGAGGCCCCATTAGCTAAAATGGTGCTTCAGGTTAACAGTTTCAGGTTAAGTATAGACCTCCGGAACTTAACCCAAGGTACCACTGTATTTTAATGGCTGACACAATAATGTAAGACAACACATTATCTGAAGGGCAATACCTGATTTGAAGGTATGAATTAAGCACATAAGCAATGTGCCCAACTCTTGGCAATAGAATGTGTGCTGCTGTTCATTCATATCCACGTTCAAGTGTTTGGTGGTGATATCTTCCAGGAGGATCCCCACTAACTGCAACAAGAACCTAGGGAGAGGGAGTTTTACAAAGCATCATGTAATTCCCCAAGTAAAGAACAAAAGGGTTAAGATCTATTTATCAACACAGCCCTGAATGGGGAAAAGAATCCCATAAGTGCACACACAAATGTATGGACACAATAAATAAATAACTTATATTTGCCCGTAGTAAGATTTCATTGTTGGGTTACTATAAAATTCTAGGATGTCTCAGGTCTCCTTTTCTAATAAATACACACTTTATCCCAGTATGTATTATAAGGAAATTGTACAACAACAAAAAATGACTAACCTAGAAAATGTCTCTTCAGGCAGATATTTATCTTGCTCTTCCAGAGTTTGTTCGTGAGTTGAGGTAAGAATGGTTTCACCATTTCGTAGTCTGTTAATTGTTTTGCATGAGATTAAATATGGTGAGAAGGAGAGCTCTTGAATACGAGAAAGAACAATGTCTTCTGTTGACTGTGAAATCAAAACGCGAAGAATGGCAAGAATGCCAGATATCCATAATTGCACAGTGCTCACGGAGGCCTACCAATGAGAGAAAAACCCCAAAAGAAGGAAAGCGATGAAGGAAGAAGACAATACCAGGGCCTGCCCAAATTGAACTGCCTCCCTTCCCCTCCAAGGGCCAACTTTACATTATTTTTATTTATTTTAGTATTTTTAAATTGTAAACTGCCTTGGCAGAAAGGTAGTATATAAATGCAATCAATCAACAAATTGTACGTAAAGTTGAAAATACTGATGGGGGCAGGAGTGTATGATTCCCCCTTCCATTTTTTTTTACCAGATTGCTTTAGCTTTCTGTGATTTTCCACTCACATCTTGCCAAGGAAAAAATGATGCTTACCAATGTACTGGGAGTCACAAACATGCTCCTTAAAAGCATGTCCACTGGTCGGAGGGCTGATGGTGCCAGTATTTCAAATAAAGTGTTCAATACCCCCAGAGCTTCGTGAGAATCTATGTGCATCTATTTAAAAAAACAAAGATAAATCCCATTTTTGTCATCACCAACATTATTATGTTTAATTGTTTTTAATTATTGTTTTCTCCGTTTTTAGCTTTTTCTAATAATAATAATAATGATGATGATGGTAATAATAATAATGTCAAAAAATCTACAAAATCAGTTAAATAACAATAATAAAAATAAAAATAATAAAAATAAATAAATGCTGAACTCATTATTAATTTCTGAGAGCAACCTAATCAGACAGAATTCTAATTTTCTAACACAAATCTCAGCACGGCATTAAAGCATACCATGAATGTACACTTTTTCACAAAGAAATATTAAGAGCTGGGAGCATTTACCTGACTTTATGAAGTTACTGATTTACATTTGCCACATACAGGCAGCAACCATTTGGCAAACGTCCCAAGTGATGCACGACTGCTGACATGTGGGCCCCTTTTGGTGGAATGGGCTTATGCGGGACCGCTGACACAAACAATGACCCAGAACACAACCCCCGAGTAAAGGGGGAGTTCCCTGTATTTAAACATTTCACGCATTTGGAATTTTCAAGCCTTGTGGGTTTCTTGTAAACGATATTCCGAGTAGACTCACTGAAATCAGTGAACTTAAAGAGTTAGACATGACACTGATTTCAATGGGACTGCTCTCAGTTTGACTTAGTTGGATAACACCCCCCATATACCTAAAAGTCCTGTATGCCCTGGCTCTTGCTCAAAACACGACAACAGGGGCTCCTACTTGAAAGTAAGGAAGATATATGTATTGAAGTACAGACTCGGGGACAAGGCTAGAGTAGCCTCAAACCTCTGACTAGGTAATGGGAACTGGTGACACTCACCAGGCTAGAAGCCGCCGTCAAAGTTCAAGGAGTTCAAGATCAAAGCAAGAAAAGTTCAAAAGCATAAGGAAGCTTTGCTCAATGAGTTCCCACAGTCACCAGCAAAGCTTTAAAGGCATGGCAGGGCAAGCTTATGCACAAGCCTCCCACGGCTTATTGGAATGCCAAACCTGCGGACGTGCGCTGTGTTGGAGAGTGTGAGTCTGCTCCCACATGTGGAGCCACAGCTGCATCTTGAGCAACAAGCCTGCGCCCTCCCCATCTGACCCCAGGGGGACACCCATCACAGGAGGGATTGGGTGGCTGGAACTGCCACTTCCCCATCAAAAGCTGCCAGATTGCCAGCCCACAAATGGGCACAAGCCTGACATCAACAAAGACAAGACATAAAAACCAGCAGCGAGATATTTCATGATCCCAGGGTTATTTATTTATTTGAACTTAATCTATTAATTGACCTTAAGGTGGCTATCCTGGAACAAAGGAACTTCCAAAGGAGACTGCAGTAAAAAGTGCTGAATTTTAATTCATCATAATAAATTTGTTAGTCTTTAAGATGCTACAAGTTTGCCTGTTGTTTTAGTTGCAGCACACTTAACAAGCCTACTGGAAGTTGAAACACCAGATATTGCAAACAAACAGTGGAACATATAAACATGTATTAGTTTAGGTAACTGATAGTCTTAACCTGTTGTTTTGCCAACATTGGGAGAATGATGTCTGCTATCTGTCGGGATAATCTTTTCCATTTGTCTTCATTCTCTCTGTGACACTGCTGCAATACTAGGATGAACATCTCCAGCACCTGAAGATAAATAAAAATCTCAGAACATGCCACATTCCATTATATCATTAGAAAACTATTCCTTTCAGTTCTCTTTGCCTGCTTGTCTGACAGAAATGTTCTAGTATTTCCCATATTCTTTTCTCCCCAAAATGCAATATAAATTTCTTCAGGTCACTACACAGAGTGTTTCTGTGTCAGCCTCAGCCAACACATAGCAAAAAGAGAGAGAAATAGAAAGGGGGAACCCAACCCATGGCTGCTTTTTTCATAGTGGTCCCCATGTTTCCTATAATGCATTGTAATGTATAAGGCAGCTCCCACTTGTGTGCACTCAAGACACACATGGTGCCAATCAATCAATAAACAAAAATACAAAAAGTAAACGAAAATATAAACAAACCTAAAAATATAAACATATATAAACAAAAGTAAACAAATATATAAACAAATAAAGAAACAAAATATATAAAGAAACAAAATATAAAATAAACAAATAAATAAACAAAATTATAAACAAACAAACAAATAAAATAAAATACAAAACGAGCACTCCTCAAGCATTCAGTGACTGACTATAATTAATTAATGCTATTTTAATACTGATCCTCTTTCAGTAGTTTGCATTAAATATGAAATATTATGATATTTTATTCAAATTGTTTTTTATTGATGTTATTGATTCTTAAGTTACCTTGAAACCCTTACGAGCAAGAGGCAGATAAAAATATTTCAAACGAAGAAGAAAAAATATAGAAACGTGTTAGAATTTTTTCCGTACAGAAAAAACATACAAGGTACTGGAAGACTGTCACATAAAGGAACATAACATGGAATTCAAGACCTTCAAGCCAAACTATTCTAAACAAAAATGGACATACTAATTAGCCTACAAGCATGCCCACACAATTTACCTGATGGTACTGGATAAGCCTCAACAACATTGAGACGACCACTTCTTTTTGCGTCTCCAGTTCTTTCCCAGCATCAGCTTTGTTTGCTCCTCTTAATATAAACAGATCATGAACAATGGGCTGCAGAGCAGGTATTGCTACAAAAGAAGGTACAATATCAATTTTAAATTAAAATGTAACAGAACTAAGACATGTAAACTCTTAACTATAGATGTTCTGCTGTCAAACCTTAGGACTAATGTATCTTTAATGTGTGTTTTTTATGACACTTGTATTTTAAGGCAGGAGTATGGGGAAGGATTCAGAAGCCAAGCCTTTTATCTCTGCTTAGTGCAAGAAACAAAAGTTTACGGTTAAGATGATCTAGCTCTTGTAAATAAAGAATAACCACACACCCAGATGGCAAAGAACCTAGCTAACACGGTTAAAGTAACAAAAATATTCTTCCCAATAGAAGAGTATTTATTGAATAGGTCAACAACTGGTAGTGAAAAGTTTCTTGCATAAAGTCCCTTATTAAAAGGAGGAAAAGGCAGGATGTAAAGAAAACACATAAATTCTCCTGCAAATTTTTAAAATGATTGGAATAATTCTCAAATCCAGCGCCACAAAACCCTTACAACTTTTTAGCACTTGATATACCAAACATTCGTTTTGCAACTTTACTCTTTAATTACCATGTGTAACGGCTTTCCTTC